CTGAGTTTATATATGTTTCCTTCAAATAATTAACGTGTCTTTTGTACAGTAAAAATATTTCCCAAAGTAGGGCAGTGGGTGGAGTTTTATATGCACTGAGGCTGAATATCTTGAATGAAATAACTGCTTGTTTTAATGTATCTATTTGATAAACTTAGTACTTTTTTCATTTTTACATTTCAGTCAGACAAAAAAAGTTTTTTTTTACTCAAGTTAAAGCTCCTAATGTATATAAATGAACTATTTTACAATCATGTCAATTTTTGTTTACACAACACAACTTAAACTCTTCCTATTATCTATAAAAGGACCTCACCGGGACATGACCTTGATGTCTTCAGCAGTAGTTGGTCCTGTGTAAAGACACAGCGTCTCTGTATTCCATCCTGCTTCCTTTCTTTACTTTATGTTGGCCTGAAAGTACAAAAAACTAAACAAAAACCAAAAGAAAACAACTAGATCCTGAACATAGTGGAATCAGCCTCTTTAATATCGTCCAGGTACATATATGACCTCCGTTTCCTCGGTGAAAAAAGTATCCTAAATACTTTAACAAAAGCTTACATTAATGCCACTAATAAACTCAATAAAACACTGAAAGCTTTCCTTTTCTTTCTTGTTAGTCAATCGGAATCCAAAAATGTGGTCATGTCCCCCTCTGTCATGTATATGCCCTGTGAACAGAGCTCAGGTATAAGGCTGGGAGCAGACCAGGTGATGGATAGCAGCAGGGCTTGTTGTCCTCTGCTTTACATGACTCTCATTAAGCTGTAAATCTTTCACAACAACACCCACTGAGACAATGCCACACAGGCTTCTCCTTGCTGCTCCACCTTGCCCTGGGCGTAACAATGAAACTGAATCACTTTGTCAGGACACACAATTGCCTCAGTGTTTCAGACAGCCAGTAAAAATGTTGGACAACACATCAGTGTGTGAATGTGGGTCTTTGGGTGAATCATAACAGGCAATCATAATTATTCAACATCTCGATGGTATCTGAGATAGTCACCTGATGACACATATGAAAATACAATGTAGCAAGCTGATGTAGAAAAATTGGGAATTTTGTACAGTTATGTACCATTACTTGTGAAAACAGATGCATACTATAAATGTCTTAGCAGCAAGCTGTACATGTTTACAGTGTAATTTGAGACAAAGTCGAGAAAGATACGAAATTTAATTCAGAGTACATGCAGTTAGATTTTAATGTCAAAAAACAAAAATAAAGAAAAAAGGTAAAACGACGGGAACAAAGTAGGAACACTAAACAAAGTGTGATGCTATGATACTGTAAAGCTAATACGTAGCACTGCTATAATTTGTTTTTGTAGATTACATACGCTGTAAAATTACAAGCTACAGTACTTTACTGTAATCAACAAATTACTTACAGTAACTAAGGCCTATGTGAGGTATAGACCGTAAGATAATCCAAAAAAACAAAAACAAAAAAACCTTTACTCGGAAAATCAGACGCAGCCTTCGTGGGTGATAAGAATAAGTAGGTATACCTGTCCTACTAAACTGTACCACAGATAAAGAATCGCGTGCAGCTAACTGGCACAGGATCATATTTGCACACGTGACTACTTTCTCGTTTTTAATAAAATCTGAGATCTGGAATATGAACTTTATTTTTGTAATTTTCGAGCTTTAGAGATTACAGGTATTAAAGTTGAAGTATTTTCCTCCAACATGCAGTTTAATGATCACAACAGCTCACAGGTTTGTTTCTCTATGACAGGTTTTGTTTATGTGCCTTTGCATGTTCAGGTTCTCGCCTTAACAAAACCTCGACAAAGCTACACACTGACACCTGCTGGCAGAAAGTTTGTATTGCAACAACCAATATTAAACGTGGGAATTTGTTGCCCTGCATCAGTCCTCGCAGGTCGGCCTTCCGCTCCGTTCGTTTTGACCATCACAAAGGCGTCTTTATTTTATTTTATTTTTTTATTATTATTATTATTATTATTTTATTTTATTTATTTATTTATTTTTTTAGCATACACAAATAAGCCAACAGGGGCGATTCTAGGATCAGAGCTTTGGGGGTAAACTTTACTCGTCAGGATGACACTTCTTTCCCGTCTCTGTCAGTCCCTGCATCCTTAAATGTCTCCAGTTGTCCCGAGTTCTCTCTGACTGTCT